TTAGTTTTATGCGTCATCAAGATGGCGGCCCCCATATAGTAAATATGGCATTTATTTTATTATATCAGATGTGCGCCAGCTGACTGTGCAGCCAAGGTCTGAGGTCTGATGCCGTTCGGCGTAGACATTGCGAATTCGCAGTATTGATCTTGCCGACGAGACACACTATTCTGTCAGGCGTTAGTGGAGTCTAATGCAGTTTGGCCGGCGAGGGCGCCACTCACGTCTACATGTCAGGCTAAGCACTAGGTCAAAATCCAACGATAATTCTTTGTACATGTTGTCAATCTCAGAATAGAGTTCCTTAACATATTAATTCATGATCGTGTGAAACGATCTGCCTTATTCCACAGGGAACCCAGGAACTATAATCAACTGTACGAAGTCCCTATGAGCGCGGGGGGGGGGGGGTATTAGCTGGTATCTTGTGTAAGAAATAGACAAGGGATGAAGGCTCCAGCGAGCTCGTATTTTTTAAACTGGAAAAAACATTCGTAATAACTGCTTACAATAGCATTTTTTCTTTTGTATTTTATTTTGTCAATTTCAGTTGCAAATCGTTTATAATTATTACTTTTCTGTTTTTGCTTTTTACATACATATCTAATTTTCCACTATGTAATTTCATTGGCCCAGGCATTTGAACTACTTCCTTGTTCCCTGCCATTCTTATATGAAATGTGTTTCGTCTATATGTTATTATTTGTTTCAACAATGTAAGATGGTGAAATAAATATACAAATCATGTCTTGTTTTATTTCACATTTGGGTTTTGTGTGTTTGTGTTACTTTAGAGTGCATGGGGAGATTGTAGTGTGAGAAGTAGTTTGGTGACAAATCCTAGGGTTACTGTTCAGAACGGCGGACGGAAGTTCCGTATTTTTATTTATTTACTAATAGCTCGTGCGTAACAAGCACGACGTATTTCTTATTATTTACTTGTGACGCATACGTTATTGGTAAATAATTACAAATGAGTGAAAACAAATTAAGTCGTACTTGCAACGTACGAGTTATTAGTAATTAAATATACCTACACCGTGCATGTAACGTATGAACTTTTAGTAAATAATATAATTGCGCCGTACTCAGATGGTAAACCCATGTACAGACATTATTATCAATTGGACTTGGCCTCAATTACAGCCAAAGTACAAGTCCGGCTCTTCCCGGATGTGATCATTTCCGTGCTAGAGGAATGTGACAAACTCTACTTCCTGTTAATCTGCATGTACTCGTGCACAGCCGGTGATTGTAGGATGATTCGGCTTCGGGTATTTTTTTCTTATGAATGCGGATTCATTGTACAGGTTACAGGAAATAAAAAAGGCATTTTACGTTTTACAGGAAATAAAAATAAAAGTTTCATTTACAGTAAAAAATAGGTTTTTACACTTTACAGATAAAGCAATTCCTAATTACATTTTATATTGTTATAATATATTTGATAATTTGTGTTTAAAAATCAAAATTGGAAATTGCGTAAGAATTACGACATTTAATAAGGAAAGTGTTTTATATGCTTACAAAAAATAAGATCTTTGTACAAATTATGGACGAATAAAATAGCTGATTACATTTTACATATTTTTTTATTTATTTAAATTACATAGTACGTAAATAAAAACAATTGATTACAGCTTACGAAAATACCCCTTGCCGACTCTAACTTGAATATTGTACTCACCGACCAGGAAAAAAATCCAACTGACAATAATGTAAACTGTACATAGGTGGAGAGAGGTTCCATTATGAGTATTTTTCAGGCAAATGTTCTATTTCCAATATAAACTTCAGAGTAATTATTGTTATTGACATATCTTGAAGTAAATGTTCTTATTCTCATTTTTTTTTTATTTGCAGTAAAGGCCACACTACTTCATACTTGGTTCATCGTACAATCGATTACTTGGTAGAATCACATAATAATGTTAAAATAAAACATTCCAATCGATACATTGATCGAAGAGCCGCCTCTAAATTCAGAATAACACTCTAGAATATGTATGATGCGTGTTTAATTCGAGGATAACAGTTCGACTATCTTTAAATGTCAAGGTACAACATCCTACATGTAAGAAAAGTGCCTCCATATAATCGTGGATATTTAGATGAATGTCTATCATCATCTAAAAAAAGAAAAACAATCATATCTGATTTTTTGACACAAATAGCATGTTTAAAGCCCCCCCTTCCCCTTTCTTCCCGGCAGAAGTTGCGCATTTATTTCCTCCTGAAAATGTTTAAATATCGAATCAATGAAATACAAAAAAACATTAAAGCTTTGGTTTCAAAACAATGATTTTCCGCTAAAGGAACTCATGTATTATATGTGGTATTCTCTTGTTTGCGAGGGTCTATCTCAAAACGACAATAAACTGAACACGAAACAAAATTAGGAATTCTATATAAGTGACAACGCGGACTTCAACTTTTCAGTCCAAGTCCGAAATTTCTAGTAATGGATTCACAGAAACCAATCAAAACAGGGATAATTTAATTTTCGAATGTAATTCACTTAATCTTTTTGTTATCCCTGTGACGTTACTGTGTTCTCTTTCTGCACGACTAATGGTATAATAATATATAACTAACGTATTGACATTATTTCGCAAACTAGTCACTTCGTCAGCCGCGCCTACCAATATAAGCAGCGCCACCAACGAGCAACGAGCAACGAGTTATTTGAATATGGGGATTTCCCTGTAAATCCCGATATGGGGTCATTGTCTTTTCGACGTATTTTCCCAGGACTCTTTATTACGACGAAGGTCACTGCGCTTTGTTCTAGTTTTGTCAAGTATTGTGTTTAGTCTCGTGGTAATGGTTTTTCAAAAAATCACTATAGTTTTTAATGTGAGTGAAGGTAGGTTACGACTTTTATGTTTTAACTTTGCTGTGGAAAATGGCGACAGCACCGAGTGACTCCTACTCAATGATTTTTTCGTTATACGTCCATGATTGGAATACAACCGAACTCGGCCAGATTTCGACTCGGCCAGGAGAAAAATGCACAACTCGGCCAGTCGCCAACTCCCTTGACTACTTTGTTGTCGATTTCAACAACGCAAGTTTACAAACACACACATACACACAAACGCTACTGGTTCTCCGACATGTTGTTGATTTCAACATTGGCTGAACATTGTCGATTTCAGTGACGCAAATTTTCTTTTCAAAGGAAAAACACAGACATTACATCGAATCACAGACATCACATCGGCGACCGTCTATTTTTTTTTTACATTTTACTGTGATATGACAAAAGACACAGCGCTGGCTGTTTCGTCACTGAAATCGACAACCCTTTTTTTATTAACAAAGCACAATAGGCATCACTGAAATCGACACCCTTTGACGCCCGTACATTTTTTATATTTTGTTGTGATATGACTCTGACAGTCTGTAATACAGCGCTCGCTGTTGCATCATTGACACCCTTATGCACATATGCTGGCCGAGTACGGTCACTGGCCGAGTAGAAATCTGGCCGAGTTCGGTGGTCACCCATGATTGGACGCCGTAACAGGGCGTGTGGCAAATATCTCAGGCTATAACCACAGTCCCTGTATTATAACTGAAAAAAGGGCGCTTCATATATTCACGTAAACATACACTTGGTACCTGAGTCCGTGGTCAGTGTCGGACATTTCAAGCAACCTAAAACACAGTTAAAATGTAATTGTTTACTGCCACATACATGTGCATGCATGGTCGTATTTAGTTTTTAACCCAATTTTTTTTATACTTGGCACTCCTTGTTATTCAAATTTCCGACCAAGTTCTACTAGTAATGATTGCTGTGTATTCATTTGTTGATTGATTTTTATGAAGGTCGATCGCGACTAAATAATAAAATATATGCCATTGGGAAATATGTGGTGAATTTAAAAGAAACGAAAACACTGAATGTGTACCAAACTAGAGGCGGTAGGTCAGTAAATCCTGCCTTCCCTAAACATGCGCATGACTCATATACACGTGTTTCCCCTATTACTGGTCAGTATAATTAGTAAATATGTCATGGCCAATTTTGATAATTGTTATTTCCACTACTGTAATCGTATTTACTTTATTATTCAGTAGTTTTACAATACTGATCAGTCATGTCGCAGCAAAGTTCGAACAGATCGAGCACTTCTTCAACAAGCCCCCAGTTGTCTGGATCTTCAACTGGATCAGAATTTATTGTGTTATCTCGACCGCCTTCGAGTCAAAGTCTACGAAGTAACATATCTAACCCACTGTTATCACCACAAAATGATGATATGTCGTTTGTGATGGATGAAGAACTAATTACATTTATTCGTGGTATACAGTTACAGAACAACCAACTCACTGGTATGTCAGTGTTTATTTTTCAATATTTTAATTTTCTGAATTATGTATTTTTTTCTTAAATTATCAGAAAATGCATTCTCAGTTTTATTGCTTTTGTTGGGTATTTCCAATCTTTAGTTTGGAATTAACCACTTACATAGAAACTGGATTCTGGATCGTCATTGGTGAATTTCAATGACCTTTGACACCCAACACTGGGTTTTCCCCAGCATTGTGTTTTGAACCATTTTAGGTAGCAATCGTTAAATAGTTGACATATATACGGTAAAGTCTTCCTCATAAAACATCAAGTGAATTTATTGTGTATAATATCAGTCACTAATTTTAATTTGAATTAACAAATTGTTTTAAATTATTGCTTGTTCGTGGGAATAAGGTAAGTTAATTATTGTATGATTTGAAAAAAAAAATGTGAGTGAATTTTTGGGGTATGATTCATTTCCTCAACATTGTTGGGGTGTGACTGTTTACTGTGTATGTAAAATAATTAAACATTAAATATTTTTAAGAGAGATTTTTTCCTCCTTTGATATATAAATATTGTGTTTTTTCATTGTACATGTATGTTTCATACTAATCTATGCAATTTTTTTCTTTTCTGCATATAATGGGCAGTTGATATTTTTTTTGTTAGGAAATTCTTGATTGGTTTCAGATTCAGTTATCAATTACATTTTATACTATAATCCGCTTTAATGCAATTGACAAATTCTGTGAGTTAGAGAAAGGGTATATGCATCTCATTAATGAGCCAGATAATTCCACTGATCACAAATTTCTAGATATACTAGAACAAGACTGTGGAACAGATGATTAGGGTTTCTCCCATTTTTTTCCCCTATTATCTGTATTTGTAGATTCCTAATTTTGCTCGTTTTTGTTTTTTTTCCAAATTTAATAAAAATGTATGCACGGTGATAAATTCAACCAACATACACGTGTCACTTGTATCGATTCCATACAAGGATAAAAAAAAATTGCATTCAAATAGAATCTTATCACTTGCCACCATGCATAGACCATATCACAATTCCAAATTTGAGTGCATTGTGGGACAGTTTATAGTTCAGGTTGCACAAGCTGGTGTGATTTGTGATTATCGGAGGAGTCATTTTTGATCATGGTTTGATTCTGTTTGGACTATCCCATTATGGACTACAATTTGGAATTGAGATATTGGCTTTGCTAGAATACGTGCATATCTCATTATCAGACTTTGGTACTTTTCATATTACTGGTAACCACATTTGCTCTTTCAGTATCACTTTATAACAAAGAGAAGCACACCTAAACCCGAAATTGTATTTATTGTATGTTATATCGTTGAAATATGTTGTATGTTTTGATCATAGACAATTATTTAGACGATATAATAACGTCTGTACTAACACTAATTGTAATTAAGATTGTGTCTGGCATCATGGGCATCAGCGTCCTCCCCAGAACAATAGCGTACAGTATCGGTTAATTTACATTACAATAACATATGTTAATCACCTTTATTGTATTTATTGTTATGCTAAATTGGGTCTATAGTTTATCCAAAATTTTAACAGTTGGGAACTCCTACTTTGCAATGCCCAGGGGAGGACCCTTGAGGGGTGTCACATAAAAATTTTATTTTTTATCAAAGGAGCTAATATAGCAATGCAGAATTGAGACTAAATGAAGCATTGTATTAGTTGGAAATGTACGGCTGATCTGCACTGGCTCGGAAGATGAATTCTGATTGGCTAAAAAAACAAAAAAACTTGTGGCGTTGAATGCACGTTCATTGTCAGTATTGTTATGCAAATTCAAACTAGCTAATCATTTACAACCTTCCGAGCCAGTGCAGATTAGCCCGAAATGTACATTATTTCCATCAATAGGCTCATTTCTACTACTTTTTCTTTTGACAGAGAAATTGGCAGAAACCAATGCATTAATGCAAAACCAAAGCAAGGAGCTTGCAGAGATCAGAGATAAGCACAGAGAAACGTTCCAAGAGAATCTCGAAAGATACAACCAAACAAGAACTGAAATTCTGAGTCTGCAAAAGACAAAAAAAGAACTGCAGGATAAAATTGATCAAGGTGCCATGGATATGGAAGAGAAAATACAGCAGGTGAAGCAGCAGGTAACAATACTGACAAATTGTTATTTTTTAGCATTTTGATAAATATTATCATAGAAAGTTAATAATTCTTTTCAATTCTTTAAATTTTTCTGTAATTTTATCAAAATTTGATGTTAATTTTGAATCAGGATTGTTCAATATTTTTTTTAGATTATATGGCAGAATATTTTGAAACACATTTTCAGCTCTGCTGTTGATATTACTGATTTGTCCACCTGCATCAACTTTAAATTGTTGTGACATAATTTTGAAAATGGAGAGTCAGCTGGTTTTAATACTTTGTATATACGTACATTGGGTGACTATTTTTGTCATTTTTACTAAGATGTACTATTTTAGAATTTTTTATTCAAAATGTTTAGCCAATTGCTTTGATATTTTATGTAGACATAATGGAGGAAGCTCTAACAGATTTGTTTAAATTTTCTAGTATTAGTGAATATTTTTGTCATTTTTTGGTAAAAAAATGCTATTTTCTACTATACAGTGGAGCTATATCAGCTGACAAATGGAAATGTTTGAATGAGAATTTTCGCTGATTGTTACGAAAAGTAACCAGTGTGGTAATAATAAGGTTGAAATAAAACATCAATTTGTTGATATATAATGCATTATGACCTCATTTCACTCTTGATATTATGCCTTGTGTAGGAAATGGAGAAACGTTCACAACTTGAAATGGAAATAGTCACACTGAGGGGTGATAAGCAATCACTGGAAGATCTGAATATGAAACTCCAGAAATCTATTGAGAAACTAACAGAAGAACATTGTCAAATAAAAGAACAGTTATTAGAAAAAGAAAGTGAAATTGAACAGGTACATTGTGTATATACACGTATATATATGTGGGTAGAATTGTCTTTGTTGATATCGCTTGTAATGTGTAAATGCAGAAGAATGTGTAAATGAAGAATGTAAACAATAAACAAAATAATGACTTAAAAACAAATTGTTACAATATTTGATTCAAACCATACACTCTGTCTGTCCTATTAGAACCTCATGCATGTATGTCAGTGTCTTAGATGACGTTACTGTTTAATTAATTTTTATTAAAACAAGGAATCCAACGGGTCTTGGAGGCTTACTTTCAATAGATCTCAGCAAAGTGGCTGCTCTGCTAAGTATGACACCCTGATCCACACCTAAGTCGTCCTTTTCACAGAGTAGATGAAAATCGCTGCACCAAGGAGAAACAATTTCAGAATTTTATGGCATCCGTGAAGAAAAAATTTTACTAAATTCACTATCATTCCGAGTCATTGGTTCTCAGAATTTTTTTTCATTGCAACAAATTATAGAGACTGAAATACCAGGAAAATGAAAAAAAAATGCAGAAACTTGTAATTCACATCAATAGTGCCAGAGACTTTATTCTATTCACTTTGTTATACATATCACATGGTGGCAAATGTATAAAACTATGCCAACCAAATCCATTGTAGTGTACAGGTTATAGGTGCTGAGTACTCCAAAAAATTGAGCTTAGCCAACTTTTTCAATAGTTGACGTAGAACTTAGCCGAGCTCTAATATCAGAAATGGTTGAATTATTAAATCTACATATGGATGAGCCAAAAATATGGGTGTACTACCGGTAATATGCAAGTGTGGCAGTTTACTAATCTACATAAGGACAAAAGACCATGTGCGTGTTTACAGGAATTATGCCACTCTTGGTCATGTGACATGTTCTAGCTTTTGGTTCATTTCTGTGAATATTTTGTTCTTAGCAGATTGTAAACTGGTCACACTTGTATTCATATGCAGAATGTAATTTATACAGTATTATTTATATGCTGAGTGGAATTGCTACAGATAATTGTACAAACCGGTAACTTGCAAACTGACATTGTCTTGGCTACATAACTGTAGCATCATATTGGATGAGTAGTTGATTCTTTGAGAATTGGAATCGACTCAGATCCTCTACGGCATTGTGTGGAGTTGGTTATTGCTACTACACTGCATGATAGGCTATATGATCAGTATATTGTGTATGGTGTTTAATTCACAGTGTCATCTCTAATTTTAATGGCTTGTTTTATGCCCCAAAACCGACTGTATGGTGTGCCGGGGTAGGTAAGGGTGTGTGAAGTTCTTTGTTTTAGTTAATATATCCATATGTACTTGACATTTTACTACACTCTCCAACAACAACAATTATGTTTTTTTTTTCTCATGCTAGGTTGTTGTGAGTAAAGACCCTACTGAAGAGGCAGAGATGAAGTACCTTCAACAGAAGTGCACTGATTCAATGAACGAGTTACAAGAATCTAAATCTAAATGTGATGAACTAAGTCATGAGGTGTTGAAGTACAAGTCATTGTCTGATCAGATGATGGAGGATCTCAAGCAAATACAACAGATAAAATCACAGGTTGAAGAGAATAATAAAGAGCTATCAAGGAAATGTGAAGAACTGGATTTAGCTATGTCCACGATGAAGAATGAGCTTAGTCGAGTTCGCGAAACAAACAACAGACTGGTTATTGAGAAACAGGATTTGGTAGCTATGAATAATGAATTGCAATCCCGACAGTCCTACAGCATGACTTCGGGTAGTAGTGGGCCAGAAAGCTGTTTGAACAATTTCAAGGAACTTGAGAGATCCGTACGCAATCCTGTAGCCACTGTGGATGACAATAGACAACAAGCTGTCTCGGAAATTGAACATCCACAAGAACAGAAGGGTGATCTTGCCACTGCAAGTCGAGAGGACAGTGAAGTGATCCTCTTTGATCAGCGAGATCGGAGCAGTAGCGATACCCAAAATAAGAAATCAAAATCCGAGCTAACTGTTCATGATCTTTTAGTTCAGCTGCAGTCTGAAAGAGAGAAGGTGACAGAATATCAGCAACAGCTACACATTGAACAAAGTAAAGTTACTAGGCTGGAGCAAAATCTGCAAGACACCAAGCAGAGACTACAAGCCAGTACCTCTCATTTGGATACCACTGTTTCTCAGCTGCAGCAAGAACATAAAGATAAAGTGAAAAACCTAATGCAGCAACTTGATAGTATGTCAGCCCAGGTTCAGGCAGCACAAGAGCGGCAGGTAAATACCATTCATGAAATCAACATAATAAATCTAATAACATGCAAATAAAAAATTGATAAGTCATTGTGATCAGGCTTGTTTAATAGATTAACAATCTGATACATAATGTTGTTTTCATTGGTGATCTATTCAGTTTTCATTCTCTTCCTCAAAATATTATGTTGGATTTATTCCAATTCGTCTATTTGAAGTAACTACATTTTGTATTTCATGTAGTTGAGTTCCTGGTGGATATAGCTTCCCTCTCCTTTAATTCAATAAATGTATTGTTGATGGAAGCTTTATTTACAATGACTTGTTCTCAAGTAGTTTGACACAGTTCGGTTTAGATCCCCCAAAATAATTTACCAAATATTTGGGTTTCAAAATAAAAATTTTTAGCTTTCTTAGTATTTGATCATTGTTACTTGGTTTTGAAAACACCTACAAAGAAGTAGATATTATTTATAAAGAGGCGTCTTAAGTGGTTTACAACCTTGTTTCTAATAATAAATTTGCTTCCACAGCACAATGAAAGTTTGGAAAGTACTGGTGACGATATTCAAGCATTGAAGTCTCAAGTTATGTCACTCGTCAATGAATTGAGAGACACTGAAATTAAATTGAACGCAACCAGGGAACATATTAATAAATATAGAAATAGGTAATAAATCAGTGCTTTTTTGTATACTCTTTCACAGATTATGCAGATTTTATAGTCTTACAGTTCTACGTCATGCAGAAAATGTCTATGCAAAAATGGAAATGTATTTTCACAGAGTTCCAGACATTACAAATAAAGAGATATTCTAAGTGTTTATATGCGCTGACTGCAGAACATTTAGAGCATTGGATTACTTAAAAAACTACGTATAAATATTCAATCAGAACTGGCATCTCAGGTGGCTACCGAAACACTGCTCCGCGTCAATGGAGCATGGACATGTTACACAACACTTTGAATACTACATAATTGTTATTCAATATCTATTTCAGCTTCCTTGTTGAGGTCTCTCTGAAAATGGAACTGTTATTTATTATTCTCGTTTTTCTTTTACCATAGGTGTATCACTGCTGAGAATAAATTGACAATGCTGCAAGATGAATATGAGGACAGGTGTAAAAAAGATGGTCATATTATAGACACATTGAGGGTGGAATTACAAAATTACGATGCTGCATTGAACACTGAAATGGCAGCATTGCAGCAAGAAAGGTGAGTTTAGTTAGATTGAAGGGGCAATACATGTAGTAAATTTTTTTTATAAACCAAGAAGACCTAGGTAATTGGTATAACGCCAATATATAGTACATGAAAGGTAGTGAGTTAAGAGCTGGAAGGGCAATATTACACCAAGAACAGTGAGTTAAGGGCTGGAAGGGCTTTATTACACCAAGAACAGTGAGATAAGAGCTGGAAGGGCAATATTACACCAAGAACAGTGAGTTAAGGGCTGGAAGGGCAATATTACACCAAGAACAGTGAGGTAAGAGCTGGAAGGGCAATATTACACCAAGAACAGTGAGTTAAGGGCTGGAAGGGCAATATTACACCAAGAACAGTGAGTTAAGGGCTGAAAGGGTAATATTACACCAAGAACAGTGAGTTAAGGGCTGGAAGGGTAATATTACACCAAGAACAGTGAGTTAAGGGCTGGAAGGGTAATATTACACCAAGAACAGTGAGTTAAGGGCTGGAAGGGTAATGTTACACCAAGAAAGGTGATGTAAGGGCTTGACAGGCAATATTTATCAAGAATGGTAAGTTAAGGGTTGGAAGGGCAATATTTACCAAGAAGGATGAGTTAAGAGTTGAGCAATAGTATATCAGTTGAGGGCTGAATGGGCAATATTTACCAAGAAGGGTGAGTTAAGGGCTGGATGGGCAATATTTACTAAGAAGGGTGGACAGGCAATAGTATTAATTTTAATGATTCAATATTAATCACATACAGTATTCAGTTCATAGGCGCATCTATTGGAGATGCATTTCTAATAGAGCAAATATTGTATACCGGTACTTTACAAACGTTGACCAATGTCATTTAATGTATTGCAGATCAAACTTGAAGGAAACTGCTGAAAGCCATGAGAAATTGTGTGCTGAATATGATAATTTGTGGAAAATGTACAACAATCTCAGTGGAAAGGGTGGACAGGTGAGTGCTAATCAAAAATACAAGCAAGCTAGTGTAGTCATTCTAGATACTATGGTTCCAGAAATATTTTTGTTGTTTATTTTTAGAAAGTGAGATGAGTGTTGCATGTAGTGATAGGACTCGCTGTTCCATAGGAACTAAATGTGGTTGCAAGCATGTATACAATAAATATATAGGGAAAATATTATGATTAACTGGTTTTCAAATCAAATATCTTTTGATATGTATGTCACGTTTTCTGATATTGTTGATCAGATTGCATTTGCAGTGGGCATCATGAACGATCAAGGGTGAAATATACACTTGACGTATGATATAAAGATGTAATAAATATGTCTCGATTTGAGTTTTGTTTACTACACATCACTTGCAGTTAAATATATGTACTTGTGTAATCAGTAAAATGGTTTCTTTTTGATATAATGTATGTCGAATAAAATTTGCCATTTCAGAGAGATGTTGATCCAAGAGTTCTAAAAGAGAAAGATAACGAGATAGACAACTTGACAGCTCAGTTAGTGTCAGCTGATGAAGCAATTGCTGCCAAGGAAGATGAGGTCAAAGAATTAAGAAACAAAATCCGAGAAATGAAAAATGAACTGGAGACTGTGCCAGTACTAAAGGCACAGGCGAGTATTAGAAAGAACTAGTTCTCTTTTCATGATAAACAGCAAAATTCAAAATGTTTATGCTTATAAGTTTATCAGTTCAAATATCTAGAATTTTCTCAAGCATTTAAAGTAATCATTATCTACTGTGTAATCATTTATAAGTTTCTATCCTATTTTTTCAACCACATCGTTTCATTGTTTCTTTGTGTGGGTATATTGTTACCAAAAATAACAATCTGAAATTGTATGTGTAGGCTGACATCTACCAAGCTGACTTCCAGGCTGAGAGAGAAGCTAGAGAGAAGGCTCATGGTGAAAAGGAGAAGCTGGTGCAGGATATCCAGGATCTACAGTTGGAGAACCAGCAACTTCAAGATGACTTAAATACATTATCTAAAACGCAGATCGCTGAAATGCAGAAACGCCATGGTAAACATGAACCAAGGCCAGCTGGTGCCGCAGGGTATACACAGCCAGGGAGAGGATATCCATACCCTGGTCCTTATTATCCACGATATTATGCTGATGGTAACAACGCTGATGAGAGAAAGAACGAACCCGCACCACAGGGTATTGTAGATGGCATGGGAGGTAGCCAGGGCGATAGATTACTAGCCAGAGGAGATTCTGCAGAACAGGTAAAAACAAATACCAATAAAATTGTTGAAATAAATCACAAGTGCACTATCTTTATACCTATTGTGTGTGTATAACATGAAATCAACATAAAATAAAACAACTTCTAGTTGATCACCAAATTTGTATTTCTTCTAGATTTCCAGCGGCACTGATAGATCAGCATCACCAGTACCACACCAGTTTACATGTCCTAAGTGTGAAGCTGGCTTCCCAGACTTGGACACGCTGCAGATACACATACTTGATTGTATTAACTAAACAGTGGATAACAGGAAGGGAAAGACCTGTTTCCGAAGATTATTATCTAATCATCTCAGCAGACCTTCCAGCAAGTGTAACAAACTGAATCTTATGTTGTTTTATAAATATCTTATATTTGGGACTTTATTTATAATATTATAAAAATGTACACAGGCAAGTAAAAAATAACCACAAGGAAGGCACATCAATATTATATTGAATAGAACAGTATGGACAACGTTTTCATTGGCGTCTTCATTGGCACACAAGACGAATAGAAATTAATTAATTTTTAGTTATAAGTGACATGTCTGGTATGAAAGCGGTTGTCAATAGGAAAGGTTGACATGAATTGCGAAACACTGCATGCCCCAATAAAGTTACAAGTTATACAAGTGTGTGCAATGGATCTTTGTACCCTGTTATCTTAACAATGAGATATCAACATATTTGAGCAATATGTCACATTACAAGTAGACATGTGTGTTAACACATTAAATCTTACACCTGTTCCCAGCATGCAACATATATTTAATGTTATTTGTGGTACCTAAAGACTGTCATGGCATTTGGTTTAGGGAGAATGTGAGAAAATCCTATGTGTATTTACAATCAAAGTCATTAGAGCAGCATGAATGCATTGCTCTGAAAGTTTGGTGCAATGCGTTAACGTTCTTGATACATGTGTTGTTGATAAGTGGTAAATGCTTAAATATTCAAAACGAAAAACTGGTGTAGCATAAAACGTTTTAATACATAATTCAAATTACTGTTGTTGGAGTTTTTTCCTTCCAGCTGAATTGACTTTGATTGTAATCATAGTGTTTTTACTCTTTGGCTTACACATTGATATAGGAATTTATGAGAACTTAACCTAGTGAAGTGTATTTTGTAAGTGTATATGTGTTATAACATGTGACATTGCACTGTTAGAATCAATTGCTAAATATCAAGGTTTAATACATTTCAATAAAGCCTTGGTTCCTGCAAAAACTTTCTATCAGTAATTAGGTCACTTCACAATGATACATCTAATATAAATTATATTTGAGTAAGATTATACACGTGTGATTTTTGCAAAAGAAAGTTTAGCATTGTAGAAAACATACCATAGTTCATAGTCATATAAGGGTGTTATTCATAGTAATCAAGTTGTACTGAATGTAGTTCAAATTAGATATGCATTATATTCAATTGCAGTTAATTGGTGAGAAAATTATGTTTTAGCTTGATTTCTTGTGTCACAACTATTTAAATATTTCGTGTGTAAAATAGTTGAGTTACAAATGATTTAAAGTTAGTTGATGTAAATAGTGATATTGTCATTCATAAAGTTTTGTAATCAGTTATTTGTTTTATTTTATTAAAAAACACACATAATTCTTGTGAATTACGAAAAAAAGACAGTTTCAAAAGTAATTTTAAAAGTAAAGTAGCAGTAACCCTACTAGCCTAGATGGGTGTATGTTAAGTGTTTACTTAACAAATGTCAGAAGCTGTAAACATTGGAAAGGCATTTATTTCCTACTTGTACATTGGTAATAAAATCGAATAATAGTCATTTTATGATTCATTCCAAATGAACACTGTTCCACCATTCTGTACTAAGGTAAATCTGCAGAATGTACAACTTACATTTAGTCTATACCATCTACTGCCAACCGAGAAGGATTCAATTCATGATGTGGGTATGCAAAAAACGCAACATGTCTATATTTCTATATCATTTACAATTTGTAAGGCATGTTTATTTTTGCATCTTGCAAACTAGCTATATCTGTATGACGAATGAATTGGAAATAAAGTCAATGTTTTCCACGCACTACATTTAATGACAGTATTATATTCCTTCTATGCAGAAAGTCTGTCGTTTTCACACAGCATAGCTAGTACTGTTGTATTTAGCCTTGGTTGTCTGATTTTGTCAAAAATAGTTGTATACTACAAATCTTGACCATTCAATAATGCTTCAAATAAAAATCGCCAAATGTTGTCGTGCCTAGCAGTCACGAAACGTCTGAGCATGAAATGATGGGTGTGATTTAATTATTGTAACCAATATTACTTATTGTATTTACTACTAATTAAATTAGTAATATAAATAAATTAAATTTATTTTATTTGTAAAGTGGGAATTTCATTTTACCAAATTACAATTTACATAATTACAGTAAGATGTTTTTTTTCAATATCGCTATATCAATGTACGACTTTATGTTGAGCACCTATAATTTAGCACAAGCTGCATCACAACAAATTTTCAAGCGTTAGTGGTGCATTATTTCGGCTTAAAGAGCTCAATGATTGTAATATTTGGAAAAATTTTACATTCTGCTTGTTTTATGCGTAATTGGCCAGCAAACTGCAAGATACTAGTAAGTAGCTAACAATTTGCATTCATTTACATTGTGTGTTAAAATTTATCTTAAAATAAGTAGAGTCTTGCATTAACTATCCTTGTGTATTTCTGTGAAATTGTATATGTACGTATTTCTGAAAGATCTTCAGTGCCCCTTTTCAAAAATGAACTAGGAATACTTTGCAATATATACAGCGTCATGGTAGCCCTGGTTAGGAACCATAGCCCAGAGAGACTAATTACTAACCACGTCGTGTTTAATTGATTATGTCAAACTCTAGTTGCTGTACTTCACTGCATATATTGTAACATTATTCGGTTATCGGAATATGTCACGCAGTATTTGTCAACAAGAAAGGAGTCTTCGTGAACGTATCGCATACCCAAGCTAGGGCACTGGAATGTCCACAATTGTTCTTCAATATGACAAACAAACAAATTACGTCACGAGAATTGTTTTATGAATTCACTTTCAAGATTCAATTCCGATTAGAGTAGTTTTGTTATATTGTTCTGCTTTTTTTTTGAAACCAAATACAGATAATATAATGCCAGCAGGGCATAGTTCATTAGTTCGCCATCTTACACGCCCATTATGACGTTATCAATGATAGCATAATCCGTTAAACAAACATATCCAGTTACAGCATTCAGTAAATATATGCAGTAATACTGGTGTTGAAGGTCAATGTGATTATGAGGTTCACATGTGTTGCTTCCTTGAAGAGAATTGTTTCGAAAATGCCAACAAGCTAGTATGCAAGCTGATAAAAAAAACGTTGGAGAACATTCCCGGTGACATGCTGGTAAAATGAATGCTATGGTTTGAACGAAAGAGTTGCCGACTTTTGAAAATACAAATCCCGTGTCATTGAACTATAATACATGACAAGATTCGTCAACTCTATATTGTAAGCATCAATGATTGATGAATTCTAGGTAGAAATGTGTCACGAATTCTGTGAACTATGGTTATTAATAGATATCAGGCGGGGTGAGTCACGTGATTGTACTGTTGTGCTGGATGGTTTTACATATGTAGCATTGGTCAGACTTTCCCATTCAAAACATATGGACGCTTGTATTTATGTGTATAGAAACAACAACATTTTATTATTTGATATCAGTACGTCATTCAGTTTCTAATTACATCATATTTTTATCATACAATTGTGAAGTCATTTCATTTTCTCTTCTATATGCTTATCCCAGCAACGGATACATGAATAAAGTAAAACGAATATATTATATTAAAGCCTGGTGGTCGTCGCGCAGCGCGTGTTCGAATTTCATGTAAATAAACAATGTATTTTACACGCGTTGTATACGTCGCTATGAGTCCCATATCAAACAGGACGCGGCACGACGACCACTGCCCTTTAAAATATACTGTATCTCATCTTATATACATACAGGGTATATCTATTAGAACATATCGTCATATCATTCTTCAAATATCTGTATACAAATAATAATAGTTCAAGCAATCCCATCCAGTTCAATATTTGAACTAAAGCGCAGCACACACAATATAGTTTGTCCACAAATCACCACACACAACTACCACGTTTCTTTGTTGATGCATCTATCACGGGGGTAATCTCTCTCTCGGGGTCTCCACACTTGTCAGGGGGAAAACTCGTCTCGTCTCTATATCTCGTCCCCTTGAGGTACGGGATCGGGAAAGTCACTTATACTTTACAGTCAAATAAGACACACAAAACGAAATACGTTTCAACTCTCGTCTTAGTCGATCTTTTGGAGCACTCTATAAGACACAGCGCCCTGGGGAAAAGTCCCCAAGACTCTCATAAGGCTGAACCAAGACTCGCCCAAGACTGGACTGCCTCAAGGCTCGCCCCTGGACTCTCTCGGACTGCGTCTGTCGTGGAGTATTCGCCAAGACCAACTCAAACTCTCTTTATTCATTTTCAAAACTCTAACCAATTACAAAACAGTAAAAGACTCTAGGGCGTAACCTTCAATCATAAAGCCAATCACACTAAGTACTGCATACGTCATATCTTTTGATTAATCGTTCACTACATTAATAACTACGGATATAAACTGTCAAAATGAGTAGTCTAAAAAGCGGCGGTTATCTGGTAATTAGTTCCAAATCACTGAGCTAAGTTCCGTCCAAAACTTCAAATAGACCTAAACGATGACAGACATAACACAGCAATTCGCTAATAATCAGCTAATTAAGTCGACCAACAGATACGCAAAAACAAATTCATGACACATCAAGCACAATGTAAAGACCCCCACCAAGTTCCAATTCGTAAATAAACAATGGGAACAGGATGTCAACAGCAAACAAAACTATTTATTTCTTGTTTGTTTGTTTTTTAATTATATTTTTCGCTAAGTAAAACCGCTAAATTAAATTCATGTGAACATGTATTATAACAATATAAATTTGCGAAATACCAAAAAAGTGAAGTTAAATGTCAGTGTAAAATATATGCTTCTATAGTGTTTTATAACTCATAAATAATTGTTGGCCTCAACTTTCCTAGTAATATATATATATTCTAGAATAACCATTAACTTTAGAGAAATAATTGTTATTTTGTGACAGAAATATAACTGACAATGCTGTAAGTTGAATATGAAGACAAGTGTAGAAACGATGGTAATTTTACTGACACATTTACGTGCAGCAGGTGGAATTTCAAAATTTCGATATTGCTTTAAATATTGAAATGGCAGCATTGCAGCAATTAGGGTGAATTACTTGAAATACTTTATTAAAATGTTTTGTGATGATTGGTCAGCAGAACTGCGAGAATGGTAAATGATAGTTGCTGGTATGCCTTCCGAGTCTCTTCATGTTTTACAACATTAACCATGTACGTACGGCACTGCATCGAGCCACGAAAGAAAATTTGTGGAAAATGTACAACAATCGCAGTAAAACAAGTTAACGATTGGTAGAATAGACTGTGCTGCTGCAATTGATTTAAGCTGTCTGACATTACTTGTTGCGTGTAATGATTTACAATTCCTCAGTTTATTGTCTCTGCTGGTTCCTGAGAACAATAAGACAAGTAGCTACACTGAACCGTGAATACAAGGCATATATGTGTATAGTTAAACACTATAGGTTGTTTGTGTTGTGTTGTGTTTTTCCCTGTCCAAAAATATTCTCAATTGATCTGTTTCAAATCAATATACTTTCTCATCAGGAAACTGAAA